TTAGTTCCTGAAACTGTTCAAGACATGGTGGACAACTTTGCTTGCCATCCAATCTTCGCCTCTTTGCCTCCTGCTCTGTTCGACTCTCGGGAGTCACCAGTTCGGAACGGACAAAAGTTGGTCTCTGTCTACGAGCCAAGACTGCAAATGCACTGGTGTCATCCTGGCGAAGCAAACGGACCACGGTTCTGGCAAACTTTCTTGGATAAATGGCAGAGAACTTTGTCCTGAGCATTGACCCCTGTGCTGTCATGAAACTTCCTTCCATTGGTTGATGCACATGTTGATGTTTGCAGGTCATTCCATGCAAGTGTGAATAGACATGTTTTCGGGTTGTTAGAATGGTCATTCCCTTCTTCATGAACAAACCGTTCTGAGGATCTCTTAAATTTCCGGCTGTGCACATGTCAAATTGGCAAGCATAGGTATGTTGGTGTACCTCAGCAAGTCCAGGGTGTACAAACATGAGTGACTTTGCAGGCTGTTCCCAATGGAAATGTTGATGATTTTCCAACTGATGTCGAAACAGAACAATACAAATGGCAATCTGATAGAGCAATTCTTTTCGGACTTGTTCATAGTGATGTTGATGTTCCAACGATCTTGAGGCATTCAACTGTGACCAGGATGACCAGGGTCCACAATCTGGGCTGACCCAGATATCCGTGGGTCTGTGACGAGCAATCAGTCCAAAAAGCTTGGCTCTACCCTCACTTGATGCCAGGTCTCCTTGTGCGTAGCCAAAACGGTAAGCGGTCTCGTGTTGTTGTAGCATCTGATGAGTCAATGGAGAATTGGCACTGCAGAAAACTTCGACCAATGCACATGGCTTACCTATGGGCTGATTGCTTTGGATGGCCTGTTGAAGTTCGGACTCAAATGATAAAATCAAGTGTTTCAATGCATGGTTATCCTGGCTAATCATGGTATTGATCTCGGCTGACCAGTCCTCACTCAGTCTTGATCGGAGAAGGTTGCCTCCGGCACCTGCACTGCATTGGCTTGACTTTCCAGATGATGCATGATCCGCATCATGGCGTTCTCCATGTTCAGCATTCGTTGTTGCAGTGCATACACTTCCGTCGGCATTGAGCTTGAGGTCATAGTCGAGGATGGACACTGGCCTGGTTCCATAGCCCATTCGCCCTCCATGTCGGGGAGGTACACTGGAGTGGCTGATGCCATTCCCTTGGCCTTGGCTTTGGCGGCTGTCTTGGCCTTGGCCGTGGGCTGCAGCGGCTCCACAGGCACGCTGTCGGTGGGGATCACTGGAATCCCGGTCTGTTGCTGTTCGTGCTGGTCCAGCATCAACTCCACATACCGAAGGAACCTGCGGTGGGCACTTTTGGTACTCTGGGAGTATCTGGTGACCATGAATTTCACCCACTCCTGGTCCATCCATGCTTCGGCAAAGGTTTTGCCAGCATGCTTCTGACCGAAGCTCAGTGTCTCCACTGAGAGCTCTTCCAAGCTCAAGTGGCTCAGATCTTCCACTTCCACCTGCACTGGCATCTGAAGGCGATTCAGCCTTTGGGCCAAGGTGGACATTGCCATGATCACCGAGAGCGTTGGTCTGAGTCACGGTCGTGGTGGTCTCTTGAACCTGGATTTCTGCTGGCTCGTTCTGAGATTCATGAGATTGCTGCTGAACTTCTGCGGCACTGGTTGATGTACTGACCTGTTCTACACCTGGGACCTCGGATGCAGGGACTGACATGCGGATCTGTCCTAATCCTGGTACCTGATTATCAACCCTTGCATGACTGTGCATGACATGATGACTGGATCCGGCCGTGGCTTGCTTCTTTTCCTGACCTTCGGACACAAACGTCTCGGTCGGAGTGGCGAGTCTCTTCGGAACACGCTGGTCTTGCAGCACTTGGCATGCTTGAGCGGCCAGTTCATTGAGATCTACCATGAACAAACCCTTTGAGGACAATTGTAAACGTACTGGCTGAGCAAGCAACGGGCTTTCGAGGACATGTCCCACGCAGTCTACTTTGGCTTGCAAGGCTATCAAAAGGGTATTACTCAATAGAAATGGGGTTTCTCCTGGTACAATGGCTATTCTCAGCTGCAGTGAACCTAAGGGTACTATTAAGGCTTCCTTACTTTGAAGGGTTCCCTGATTACCAAACCGAAAGGTGATACTGCATGGGCTTCGACGGAGCTGGCTTCTCAGTGAAGGTTCAAAATTCTGAAGCAGGCTGGACAGCTGATTGCTACCTACTACAGTCTTGGAAGCTCCGGAATCCAGGATTGCCATTGTACCATGGGTAGCAAAACACGCCTGGGCTTCTGGTTCGTTCGGTGCATGTGTCGGTGTTTTGCATGACATGTCAACAGGCTGTTGAGGGTCATTCACTTCGGCATTCCCTGGACGCAAGGAGCATGCATTGGGAAAACGGCTCAGCGGTTCACATGGGCTGAGCAGGTTTTTACTCCTGCGGATCCAGGCTTTCACTCGATGTCGGCTGTTGGTCATGGCATGAGTCTCATTACTTACCCCAGATTCATTATGAATCCTATCCCAGTAATGTTGCAGACTATCTCTTAATCTCATCCTGGCAGTGCTATCTGGATTACCTACCCCATGTAGAAGAAAACAAACATCCCCATTGTGGGTGTCATCAGGTTTGGGCTCCTCTGGGATCGGACATGAGGCTTCTGTTGGCAGCTGCGGCAAGTTCAGGAACTCCATGGGCAGTGCATCCTGCTCGATGATCATCGTTGATGTTGGGGCCGTCGACGTAGCTGAGCTCGTCGTGGATGGTGCCGATGACTTGAACGGACATTCAGCCTTCCAATGGCCCTTTCGACCACATGCTCGGCAGTTGCTCTGCATGATGCGGTCTTGCAGTGATCTGCGCTGACGAGGTGGATTGTAACCCCCTTTGCCTCGTTGACCACTGAACTTGCCCCCAAATCCTTTCCCCTTTGCATGAGAGGGACCTTTTGATGTCGGCCAGAAACCTCGATTGCGAAACTTCTCTGAAAGGCGACGACGGGCATCGCTGTAGGCATTGAATGCCTGAGCGAGTTCACTGTCTTCTTGGATCGTATCAGCAGCTAAGGCCTCAAAATCAGCCACCAATACTGCGTCCTCATCTTCACCTTCCATCACCAAAGCTTCGATGAAGTCCTCTTCCGTGCCAACGTCATCCATGGCGATCATGCCATCAGCTGCATTGACCTCATCCTGATGTTCCACATGCATGGTTGTCGCATCATAGACCTTGGTTCTTGCAGTGGTTTTCTGTCCAGTCATGGCAGCAAAGAACGTTGCTCCCAATAGCCTAATGGCCTCTCGGACTCGAGGCACTGTCAGTTTGCCTTCCAGGCTTTGATCAGCATCTAGGATCACCCGCTTCTTCTCTTCTGGTGCAAGAAGCGAACCTCGAAGTGTCACAAAAGCCTGTAGATCTGATAATGACAGTTTCCTAGCCACTGCTTTGGACCACAAAACATCTGCCCTCGCCAAAAAGGAGTCATGTGACTCATCTGCTCTCTGTGTTGTATGGTACAGCGCGTTCTCCACGTCCTGGTACTGTTGTTCGAGGCCGATGCGTCCCCACTGTCCACCTAACAACTCCACTAAGCGAGTCACTGATTTCTCTTCATTGGCCATGAGCTCGGCATGATGCAGCTGTAAGGTCTGAAAAGCTGAACCCTGTGTATTCAGTATCAACCGTGTTGTGAGCTCTGTGATGCGCGTTTTGGGCCACGCACCCAGAACTATCTCTACCTTCTGCTTGTAGGTCTGCATGTCATCCTTTGATGGGTCAAAGCTCGGCACAAGGGATGCCAGCTGATTTGTGATCTGTTGATCACTCTTTTCGCCACCAGAAGTCTCGCTCATGGTGTCTTCGCCTGGATGCTGCAAAATGCAGCTCCGCTACCAATGTAAGTGGGGTAGCTCCACTGTCTTCAACTCCGGCTCCACCTGAAGCGCTCAGCCTTTTCTCCACTGCCAGCTGAGATTCGGATGGTTGTATGCCCTCGGTTTGTTGTCTTTGGTTGGACGGCCTCGTCCACGCGACCCTGTCGCTTTGTAGTCCACTATGGCTGAAGACACTATGAAAGAACCCTCACCGCCCACCTCAGGGCTCGCCTGAGCCACGTGTCTGGCAGGCATTGTCTGATGTCTTTGGACCTCCAAGTGGTGGCATGATTATGGAACCTACTTATATCTTAAGGTGGTTTCTTACCAGGGTTATTCCGATCATCAGTTACTGGTTTGAGAATCACAATGCATGTATATATATATACACACATACATTTTTCAGGTCTGCGGCGTCCATTGATGCCCGACAATCATGGATGTGAACACTTCAGTCATTTGCCCTCCAGTTTTATCGAGCTGGGAAATTCCCCGGACTCACCGGATGTTTTACAGGGCTTGGTAAATGTCCCATTTTGGGAATTTTGAACATCACTTTCAAATATCTGTTGAAGATTATATCCCCCTTATTTGGGTGAAAATTTGGGAACCAACCACGGACTAAACAGAGGTTTTGATGGGAAGATAATCAAACTTTAAATGGTGGATTTTTCCCTTGCCATGCTTGATTGCCAGAGACTAAATGCCGGATTATTCATGAAATTTGTATGATATATGATATATGGTATATGCACATATGGATATTTGGAGCATTGAACTGAACTATAGATTGATTAATCATCATGGATGAATACACCCCGTATCAGATTCCCATGATATCAAATCCCAGAAATATCTCAGATATCTCCCAGATTTTGGCTTAAAATCCTCATGAAATGTTCATTTAAACCTCATGATACCAGCATTTTTCATCATTTTTCAGAGATCTCCCAGATGAATGGGAATTTCAGGATCCTAAAATGGAGGTACCTACCATACATAAGGCCTATTTTTCAGGCCTAAATTTTAGGGGATATCCCCACAAAATATTGCCAAAAATATAGAACTAACGTACCTCTATTTTAGGATCCTGGAATTCCCATTGACCTGTCATTTGTAGGTGGGCGCTACGCAATGGACCCTGACGCTGGATGCCTTCGCCCAAAACCTCCGCAGTCGACGCCTGGAACCTTCGCTGGGGCAGCTGGCAACGTTGCCATGGCGAACATCGATGGAGGATGTTGGCGGCTTAGGGGGGAGTAGGAAAACCAATAATAATATCATGGGGATGTATATAATATATGTATATGTATATATATATATTATACATATATATAGTTATATATGTATATGTTATATATATAATATATTTTATATATATATATGCATATATATATATACATAATTATATATGTAATGGTATGATTGGGTAGTTTAGTTTTTTCCAAATGACCAGCGATTTGTGTTTGGATTGGCATCCCCCATTTGTGACCGGCATAGCAAGAAATGATATCTCCCATGCTGGTGAAATGCCTGCTGTTGTTCCTGAAATGTGTGCTTCCCTTGATTATGAGGGATTTATAGGGGATTTATAGGGGATATAATGGATAATACTCTCTGGTAAACTAATATAGCTATTGAAAATGTCCATGTATAGTTGATTTACCTATGAAAAGTTGTGATTTTCCATAGTTTTGTTAGTTTGCCAGAGGGTACACCTTGTTATAGTACTGTCAAAGAAGTTTTTTGCTTCGTGAGTTCTCGCCATTTGTGGGCGCATTACATGTTTAATGACTTAGCCAGTTATTTAAAGGATAAAGACTGGCAGTTCGCCACGAAAATTGGGATTTGTAGTTGATATATATATAGTTGATAATTGCTTGATCATTGATAATGATTAAGAAATACTGTGGATGGGTGAAATACGTTGAAATATGTTGAAATATAGGTTCTTATGGAGATACAAAAGATCGCATTATCCATCTTTGCTAAGCAAATGATACGAACACATTCTATTTGTTGCCCAACATGGTCATTTGCTGAAACAATGCAATTTTGAGTGACCCAAAGATGGTTGCTCCTCAGAATCCTACTAGAATACATTTATTGGACCTTTACAACATTTCAATTTTATTGTTTGCTTTAGAAAAAACATGTTTATTTGCCAAACAAATATCATCACCAACCAGATACTTTATGTTTCTGGCCCAATAATTCCCATTTAATCAAAAAGGTCAACATTCCTCCAATCAATAAGTGGAGATGATCAAAATTTGATTGTTTATGCAATTTGATCCAATATTATATTTTTGTTCTCCAATTTGATCTGGTGTCTTTTGCTGGACGTCCACTATACTGTATCTTTTCCGAGAAAATTATCCAAATGCTCCCCAGTTTTTCCATGGTTTTCCCCCCATTTTTGTCCAACCATATATTTCCACCATGTGTCCCATGTGTTTTCACGCTTTTCCCACATGTTTCCTATTTGTTCTGCTGTTTTGTTGACGGTTTTTTCCATGTTGTTTCACAGTTTCTTCCCACATTTTCCCAATTTTTCCCATGGTTTTCGCCGTTTTTTTCCTGGTTCCCAGGAGTTGCAGAAGATCCCCGTCGTTCCCGGCCCTCCCCGCGACCTGCTGGCGCTGCTGCGCTCCGCGGCGCAGCAGTCGGCGCCAGCCGCGGCGCTGGCGTCGCTGGCGGCGCTGCCGCGCGCGGTGGCGGCGTATGGCGCGGTGCTGGGGCGATGTGCTGAGGAAAAGATGCTTGGAAAATGATAAAATCATGGGAAAACCTATTGGAAAACATGTTGCAAAACCTATGGGAAAATCTATGGGAAAATCTATGCCAAAATCCATGGGAAATCTTGGAAAATAATAAGATGATGGGAAACTGTAGGAAATTGGAAAACTGTGGGAAAATCGTGGGAACATCCAAATTATGGGGATGATTGGAAAATTCATGGAATATGATTGCGTTGTTTTGGCAAAGTCTCAGCATTTTGGAATATATGATTTGGAACATGTTGGGGAAATGAAGATGTGGTTGAAAATAGGATGCTTGAGAAATTTCGACTTGATTGGAATATTATTTGGGTATCTTGGGATGTCGGATATATGGTGGAACATGTTTGGAATTTTCAGGATATTGTTTGGAATGTCAGGATATACATTCGAACATATTTTGAACATTTTGGAATATTTTGTTGGAATATGTTTTGGACATATTAAAATATTATTGAGAACCACAATTGAAACTATCCAAATATTATAGAATCATGCTTGAGAAGTTTTGGAACTGTTGAGAAACTTTGGGAGCAAATCAGGCATTATTGAAAACAAGCTCTGTTTGGGAACTGTTGACTTTGTTGGAATATGTTTTTGGGCACCTCTTCATTGGATTATCCAGCGAAACTTGGGCATAGTAAAGTGACGGAGATGCGGGCATATCGGGACACCCACGAATTGCAGATCAATTTTCCGAACGAAAACCAATGGCTTTTCCACATCTATGTAAACGCTGGTTGGTGGTTTGGAACATGAATTTTGAATTTTCCCCAATAGTTGGGATGATGATCCAATCTGACTCCATCATTTTTCAGGGGGGTACGCGAAAAACCACCAATTAGAACGTTTACCCCAGGGTACCCCATTCTTCTATGGCTGGATCCCGCGATGGAGGGGAAAATATGTGAAAATCTTGGTATTTCTTGGTATGTCTGCTGGATTTTCCAGCAAACCATGTGATTATTATATATATATATTCACTGGATCAATGAAACCACTGGTTGGTGGTTTCAAACATGAATTTTATTTTCCATTTCATATATGGGATGTCATCCTTCCCATTGACTTTCAGATTTTTCAAGATGGTTAAAACCACCAACCAGAACCATGTGATTCATTGCCAGAGGCTAACCGCAAAAAAGTGAACGATGCCTGGAACCCACAGCGATGGTCTTAGGAACTGGACCTTGGCATTGGCCTTGCTGGAGACGATGCAAGTGGAGAATGTCCAAAAAGACTGCAACTCGATGTGGTCCAATAGTTTTTTCTGTAGCAGATGTGGTACATATTTTCCCGGCGTCGGACATGCGGAGTGGCTGGAAAGTTGGAAGAAATCTCTTGCGTTAACGAATGAAGAACTCCAACAGAATCATCAATCCGGAATCTGTTCTGTCCGGAAAGTTGGCTAATTGGTTAATATGCATAATATCTTTGGGTAAATTACAATGACCCCATTTGATCTCACCAGTTCGATGATGGCTAGTAAGAATCAAATGGCCGAAGAAATCAGGTTCAGGATATAAGATGCCCAGCAGCTGATCTATAAGATGAGCAGAAAGATCTTGAGTTCAGCAGGTTCATCTACAGATTTTTTAGCCAGGCAGCAGTGTAGCACATGGATGTGTATACCAGCAAGTGTAAGTCGTCAATGAGCATGGTTCGTTCACCCAGTCATATATTTACATATCAATACATTGTATGACATACTGCAATGTATATCTATACGGTATAATACGTATGGATACACGATACATATATATTTATATACTGTATATATATAATTATATATATAATTATATATATAATTATATATATACACATATGATATACATATGATATACATATGATATACATATGATATACATATGATATACATATGTGTTGAGGTTATTATCCAGTTACAATTCCTAGGCAACATCCAGTGGTACCTTAAAAGGTGAACCCGGTGAACCCACGGTGAAGCCTCAACGTTTTCCACAGGTCTTTGTTTCTCCTCCATGATGGATGCGACATCCACACGGGTCGAATGGCTAAGAGCCCTGGCGATCTTCGAAGGCTTGAAGGAGCTCGGCCGAAGTCCAAAAGATCACAAGAAACCACTGATTTCGGAAGCCAAAATGGCGATTTTAAATGGTAAAAGAAAAAATGTGATCAGAAACCACTAGGAGTTTAAATCAAGAAACCACTAAGAAACTAAATCTCCATAAGAAATAGCAGCCAAAACGCGATTTTATCAGGAAAGATATAGAAAATGCATGAAAACCCATCATTTGCAGATTATTTTCTGAACAGGAAACCACTGATTTTCCACAACGTTTGTTAGTTTGCCTTAGGGCACGTTAATAATCATTGTCAGAAAAGGGTTTGTCCAAAAATATAGGAATTCACCCAACTATGTGGAAGTCTAGGGGCAAGTTTTTACATATGCATATCTAGTATACAAGAGCCTGAAAACAACCTTTTTTTTTCGGAAACTAATCTTCCAGTCTTCCATTTGGCAGAGTAAGCGCATGTCAATTCAAGGCCAGGTTGTGTTGAAGTGATGATAAAACATCATATACTATTTGGGGGGCATCCCATTTTCACACAAAATCAGCAAAAATGGGAATTTAACCCATAGTGATTGGGATTTCACAAGAATGAAGATAAATCAAAATGGATAGATGTCCCTTAAAGTTGCCTCTTTTTTGAGGTGAATTCCCACTGGTTTTTCTAGAGACGATAGATGCCATCCATTTTCGAGAAGCTGAACACAGATTTTTTTGGATGGTAAATCGTACACCGTTTCCATGCGCCAGACTGCATACGTTTCATCATTGTAAGCAGCGTTTTGTTTTTTGGTGCCGGTGGATATTTTTGAGGGTGGAGTCGCCAAAAAGTGAACGCTATAGTGAATGATGAAGATCATCTTTTTGATGAAATGTTCATTTCCATATGTGATAAAAAAACAACGCTTGGGAAATTCATTGTGTATACATTACATGCATATGCGTGAAGAGAAGCAAAGCAGGTCGGCGTCCGAGAAAGGCTAAAACACTGGAAGGGTTGTCGAACAAAAAGTTTAACATCCACTTTCGGAGAGCCCATTTTGCAAATAGAAATTGACATTTCGCTTTAGTGAAACTTCAATGTTGCACATCAAATGCGGACAGTAGTAGTACTAAATCTGCCGGGATGTATATCATAATCTCTTATTTCATAGTTTTATATAATTTTCAATTTATGCTCAATAAAGATTATGATATACAAAAAAAAAACAATCGTGTGGATTCCTTTCATCAATACATAGTTTTATATAGTTATCGAAGGTGTATTTCGACATATAAGTTCATCGCCATAGCACTTACCATCTGGTTATGACTAACATAGCCATGGAAAATCAGCATGCTATTAATAGGTAAACCATCTTTTTCTATGGGCCATCTATACCATAGCTATGTTAGTCATAACCAGAGGGTAACGTCCCTTGTTTGGCTTCAAGGAGGCGCTGAAAGACAGCAAGGACCTGGACGAGGACCTGGACTTGCTGGGCTCGGTGAGTATCCAAAGTTGCCACTCAGATAAAAAAACACTGGATTGGTTGAGGTTTTCCCATGTTTTTTCCATGTTTTTCCCATAAAAACTGGGTTTTCCCATGTTTTTTCCCATAAAATCTGGAGGGCTTTCCTGGTGTAGCCCACCTTTAACCAATGACACCAAGGTGTAGCCCGGCTCTGAAAATCACCAAAATCTGCATTGAACATGGCTCAATTCTGCTATGTTCCCTGTTAAAATGCATTGAGATTTGATGTTGGTTGTGTTTTGACCACTTCCAGGAATTTCATCAGAATATATGATGTTCACATTAAAGTGCCATTTTTGGGGGGGGTTAACTCGTGTGAAATTCTTCATTCTTAGACACCGAATACACCGAATTCGCCCAGCCCCATTTCCAGACACACCCAAACATCGGATTGATGGCTATATTCCATGATGTCCCCATTGTATCCCCATAAGCACCAATCACTAGCAGCTCCATTGTATCCCCATAACATCCCCATTATATGTCCATGATATGTCCATTACATCCCCATTATATGTCCATAAGAAGGATCATTTCCATGATATGTTCACATCATTTTAGTTCCATGATAATATAATACTCCCAAATATGTCATTTCCATTGTTATTGTTTATTCGTGTATTATTTGTGACCAACAACAAATGTCATCGTTATTCTTACGTGTTCCGTGATATTTCTATTATTATTAACAGATACTGTGGATGGAAGAAATCCTGCACCAATTGATAGGTGGTTTATCCCATTATCTATAGGGTTTCAACCATCCTTTTGGTGGTGCAGGATTTCGCAACCATCCACAGTATTTCTACTATTGATGTACCACCCCCCAGCCAGCACCCAGCTCAGGTAGTTCCCATTGGCCCTGCAGTCTTCAGCTCCTCCGTTCCCTGCGACGTTCGACGCTGCGGCCGCAGCTGCTGAGTTACACGTCGCTCAGTACGCTGCTGGGCGATGTTGGTGACGACTGGAGACAGGCGCTACAAGTGCTGCAACATGCGCAGGACGGGTGAAAAGTAGGTGCAGATGAATGAGCAGTAGTAATTGGAGAATATGTCTATCATACAATATACTATACAAATGTCATATATCTTATAATATACTTATTCTTTTCTATATAATATGTATGTGTACTGTATTTAACTCGTGTAATTATATCCAAGTAGGTAACTGTGTGGTCAAAAAATGCATCTGGGTTGGCATTAAAGATGATGCTATTTCAGATTTTTCGAAAGATAAAGTTATTTATATCCCTATATGTATACGTAGTTAACTGGTTGGGGACTCACCAAATCGCCATCGAATTTGGTTGATGTTCTGTATGGCTTCAATTGAGAACAGCACAGTACTGTATGAAAGAATCCCTACATCCCCTACGATTGGAAGAGGCCACAACCCACCATGAGATGTACATTAAAAATATTCAAAAATCCGTCTTTCACCAATCGGGGGCTCCTCCACGTTTCTGATCTGAGTGATGCTTGATTCGAGTTGATTTGCTGCAGCCATTCTGACAGCAAGCGAACTTGAAACAAACGGGCATCAAGCATTGCTGCAGCATGGTCCATTTTTCCAAAGTAAGCTTCTTAAATTTCTTGGAACCCCCAGCTATGATTCTCCAGGAGCAACGGGTGGCTCCCAACAACTCTCTGCTGAGTTCGGTGGCGGCAACGTTGAGAGTTGGCACTTGGCGTGTCACCAACGAGCTCCTGAGGATGGCCACCACTCGACAGGCGAATCTGGGGCACAGCAGATGGTTGCGAAACCCTGCGCCAGTTGATAGGTGGTTTATCCCAAGGTTTTCAGGTTTTCAACCAACCAGGGTGGTGCCGCATTTCTTCCACATATTTTCATATACAGTGCCTATGTGATATAATGATTTCGTTTCATCAATGATTGCTGAATATGTTTGACATTGAATTGGTATGTCAACCCAATAGTCAATGTAGTGGAGATGCAATGGAGATAACATTAAATTCTGGCCCCCTCATTTCGAGAATACTAGAAAAGATGGTGAGGATTGTGGGAATCATCCCCCAATGGCCGAACTTTTCGAGGGTCCGCATGATCGAAGAGTGTGGCCGAATTTTTCCATGTTGATATCGTTACTTTTGTTTTGATTAGCATTTTTAGGTCCTAAGATGTTTTTAAGGTCATAAGATGTTGCAAGAAATGGTAATACTCCAGGCCCTCACCCAAACTGGTCTACGAAAACAAGATTCAACAGGATTTTCATCGAAAAAATGGAAAGGGTCTTTGCAACAATCAGTGCATAATGGTGGATACAAACAAAGTGATGGTAACCAGTTATTTCAGGAATTTCATTGATATATATATATACATATAATGTATAGTGTTGAATATCATGGACGTTAACCCTGTCAAATCGCCACAGTTTGGACATTACCCCAGCAACAGGTGATTTACATTGATGTACCCTTTTTAAAAAACAAGGCGTTCAGCAACAAAAATAGGGGATCTCTTTTGGGATATGCATGTGTATATATATATATATTTGTAACGTAACGAAACGATGGAAATCTACAGTTTCTCTTGGATGATCAATGGAAGTGTTGTGGCTTATCCGTATCTATCTTAGTAAAAATCGCGACGGGAAATGGGATAAAACCGGTAATTTCAACACAGCTATGGAAAAGCACCGGTTTTTAGAGGTGAATAAAGGTAAATCATCCATAGCAATCTTTAATTGCCGGGGGATAGACAACCAGAAATATGAGATATTTAGGTTTCTTCAAAAATGGGGTCAAGATTGGCCCGCACTGCTTGCCTATCACCTCACGGGCAACTGACAATAGAAAATAGGATTTTCCGATACGCCATTCTTAGATATTCTTAGGGGTTCAGGTTGAGGTTAAACATGGATATAACCATGGTGGTGACTTCAAAAAGTTGAGATATAACCTTTGTAACTGCGGTTTTATAACCACTTAGTAGTGGAACTGCGCCCCCAAGTATTCTTGGACAAACCCATGAGGATCTCAGATTTGGTCGGTCGAGTTGTTTCGTGTTGTCGCCTTATCGTGGCTAATCATTAATCCCGTCATTTCTCCATCTTCGGCAAGCATTGATTTTCCCCAAAATTCTGTAAACCTCCATGACATATATCATTCTAAAAGTTGAAAAAGCACTTTCTAATGACCATGAGCAATGACCAATCATCACCAATCATTATATATAACACACCATTCGTTACTATTGATGATATACCCTCCAGATGTGGAACACCCACCATTTGTATATCATGCTCTTAAGGAAACCATTGGTTTTCCACATCTATCTTAGTGTTATCGTTGTGATCTACTCTCCGGTAGTTTCACCAAACTTGGTATGTTCCCGGATGTTAATTCGACATTGGATAGAATGAACCCAAGATTTCCTCTTATGAAGATATCAAACACAGTCTGGCTGGTGGTTTGGAACATTTTTCCATATATTGGGAACAATAATCCCATTTCACTCATATTTTTCAGAGGGGTATACCACCAACCAGCAGTAAAAGCAAGCCAAAAGATGTTGAAACCGGCAAGGATTCCCATGCCAAAGGTCTAGCGATAGCCTCTGGTAAACTAACACGTTGCTATTGAAAACCACCATTGTTTAATCGGCTAAATCAACGAACCTTTCATGGCCCAGTGTCAATTCGTATGTTAGTTTCCCAGAGGGTATATCCAATATATGGATTTAATGGCGGTTTTTCATGGGATTTAATGGTGATGTAATGGGATTGATAGTGAGTTATAGTGGTTTAACATGGTTTATAGTGGTAAATCCCATTCAAATCACCATTTTTGTTGGTTAAAGCCCATTAAACCACCATTAAACCACCATTAAACCACCATTGGCCATAAGAAGGGGAACATTGGTCGTTAGCTCCTTGCCCCTAGGTGGAGATCTACACCAGCTGCTTCAACGCCTGCATTGGTGTGGCTTGATGCGACAGCGGGGATACCATGGGAATATCATGGGAATACCCAAATATCATGGGAATTTAGCGGGAATATCATGGGAATATAGTAAGAATTGGATTTGGGGTGTACCATTTGAAGGGTTTTCTTCAGCAGGTTTCTTTGCTTAGATAATTCAGCTAGACTATTGGATCGATTGTCGCTGGTTTGGACAGATGAAATCCTGATAACAATCCGCTTACATATATTGTATATTATATATACATATGTTAGGGTTTCAATTTTCCCAACCGTTTTCAAATTCTAGTGATACTACCGTGGTTAACCCTTGCAACCCCCAATGAATTGGTGATTTTTCCGTAAAATTTTCCTCACCAAAGTTCGTCAAACAATTCTCAACATTTCCCAACAAAAATCCCCCAAGTTGACGCACGTTTAACTTTCTCAACTGTGTATACAAGGGGTGATATTATTAACCGGGATAGAACTATACTCTAGTCAAGTCTAGTTAATATGTTTATAAACCAACTTATAGCTAATTATAGCTAACGGAATTTAATGAATATATATATATATATATTAGTTAATCAACGAATTTTCATTGATATACATACTATATCAGATATATCATATTTCTAAATATATATATATTATATTATATTATAATTTATTATATATATTATATTATATTATATTTTATTATATATTATATTATATTATATTATATTATATTATATTTTATTAAATATATATATATATTATTATATAATATACATATATACATGTATAATTCGATATTATATATATATTTGGAATTATACATATATATATATATAAATAGTTTATTCCCCATAGGTTTCCCAACAGAACAACCGCTGACACGGCAAGGTCTGTGCTGCCCCCGCCTGGCCGCAGGCATTGCTACAGCTGCAGCACCTGTGGATCGAAAGGGACGACTGGAAGGGAGGGTACTTGAGGATTGTTCCTATATTTACAGTAGATTATGATTATCCTATAATAAGGATCATATATGTATAACATTATGGATGGTACATATTATGAATATTACAGATAACTATGGAAAATCACCACTAACATAACTATGGAAAATCACGACTTTTAATAGGTAAATCAACTATTTCTATGGGCCATGGCTTCCAAAGCTGTGTTAAATTACCAGAGGGTTACTATAAAGATCTCCCATCCACCAACCAGTGATTATTAACCATTAACCATCATTAACCACTATTATTGGTATATAATCCCATTATAAAGATGATTATTCACAATTAATAAACCATGTTAATTATATACCATTATCTGTTAATTGATTAATATACCAAACTTATTCATAGTCATAACCATTATAAAGATAATTATTCATATAATAAGGATTATTAATAAATATACCATGTTCCGTCCTCAAACTGAAAAAAAACACTCTTGGCAATATGATCACTTAACCCAGGATCACTTAACTTGTTAATATCTCATATGGCAGGGTTGCCTTTGTAACCATGTTTAACCCATATGATTGGCAATCATTATCATGTGTCAGGTGTATTCCCCAAAGTTTAGTAAACATCCATGAGAAATATTAACAATTATCATTACGCAAATTAAGTACTATGATTAATTAATGATTTATTAAGGATTATTAATGTTATATTAAATTAGGATTGTTAATTAAGGGTACTATGATTAATAATGATGATTAGTTAGTTGATTAATGAGGATTAATAGTTAATTGGTTATTAGTTTCATATTTAGGATTATCAGAAGGATTGTTAACCAAAGATTACTTGTTAAGGATTATACTATGACTTAAGAATTGTTAATTCAGGATTGTTTGAGGATTAGTATATTAATTAATGATTATTGTTAAGGATTGTAAACTAAGGGTTAGTAACTAAGGATTAATTAAGATGTGTTAAGTAAGGATTTTTAATTATGGATTAGTGGCTAAGGATTTTTAAGAAAGGATTACTGTATTATTACTTATGGATGATTGAATAAGGAGTACTTGAGGATTTATTATTCCCTTGTTGATTGGTTATTGGAAGGGTTTATACTAACTGGCTTTTGGGGATTGTTATAACCCAGAATTAATTCAAGAAACCTATCAACCAACTAGTATTATGAAATGGGATAGTTGTATTTTTATGATTCACTTAATTCTGTTTGCAAAAAGGATGTTACCAACAAAAATCGCACACTTTTTGAAATCATGTTCAATTCTTTTGACTCACGACTTGACAGTTTCATTGCATCTACTTGTTTCATTCAATTTAATATTTAAGATAAATCTTGAAAACCCACCAACAGTTCATGTCAATTGGTTTTTGCCAATCCAAACATTGATTATTTGATACCAAAAGGTCCAAAGTGTGTGGTTCCACATAGATACCCTAATGTTGATTCAAGCTCCTGGGTAAATGGGATCATCCTGCTTTTTTGGAATTCAGTAACTGGGTTCCAAGCTTCTTCGCTTGGGAATATTTTTGTGAAATCCTAGTTCCTTAATCGTTTTCCAACTGAAAGAAGAGAGCTTGTTTCTGCAAACAAATGTCCCAATAATCGGGGTGCAACGGTGTCAAAGCCAATGGAATTTGTCATTATATTCCGAAGTCAAAGGTTGGTGAAACCAGCACAGCTACCGGACATCCCCCGTAAATGTAAGTTATATCCCATTACATCTCCATGAAGAACGCATGAAATCCCATTGATACATCACATCAAATGCCCATGAGCATCCCATGTTCAAACACATCCATATGTTTCAGCTCCGACTATCATATCCCATTCAAATCGCATCAGGGTGAGACCCCCGAACGATAGCTAAGTTAACTTGGTTGACACGGGTTTGTGGGGACATAGCTAATGGGCGTTACGAACCAACGTCAAAACCCTAGCAATGATGATAATCATATTCCCATATACTATAGTTATAGCTATGCTATCAGTTATATCAATTTATACAATATACTATGGTTGTCCATTAATATATTTCAATATCATATATTATCCATTATCCATTAACATTAATTAATATATCCATTATATTATACTATAGTGTTATAATGTACTATAGTTGATGTTAGCTAGATGGAATAACTCCATGAAAACTGCAGTTATTAATGTACCATAGACCATAGAATTCACCCACTTTTTTGTTCGGCAACTGGCAACTGAGCACGCGATCGAACGCGGGGGCCCATCCTGTATTGAAGATACCATGCTTGATGAATGGATATTACATAGCCATGGTTGATTAACATACCATATATCCCATAATATCCCATTCTTATTAATACTTTTAAAGTTCCATAAAATAAGAATAACATTGTAGAATTATGGAGTTTTTGAATGAAGAACTATGGGATATGTCCAATAATATCCCATAATTTCCATATGATAAGAATCACTAGATGGAATACAAAGCTAGATGGAATAACCCCATGGTATCCCATAATATCCCATAATATCCCATTCGCATCAATACTATAAATATATTAATATAAGAATGGGAACTATAATAGTCAAATAGTCATTAATGAAAATGATGGGACGATATAATAACCATAATGTTCTTATAATATCCCATTATTATATGAAGAACGATTTTATTATAAAACCATTGTAAATCCCCATTAGCTGCAGTTACATCTACCAAAACCTATAGAATTCAGCCACTTATTCAGCCACTTGTAAGAAGAATACCTATATCGTTATTAGAATAATATCCGACATTATACTAATAACATTTTCATATATCCCATTATATAAAAGTAAAGGATGCTCTTATTTAATCGATGATTCCCCCCATGTTCACATCCGAAAGTCCAAAGTTAGGACTTTGGCCTCGCGCCTCCTGGCCTCGGATCGCTTGACAAATCGAAGCCTCCAGCGAGGCATGGACTTTCGGGACGAGGGATAGAATGCCATAAGGGACATATATATATATTTATATTTATATTTATAGTTATTTATATTTATACATATATATATATATATTTATTTATTTATATGTTTACACATATATATATATGGGTAAATTATAACGACCTCACTGTCGACCGAGCACTGGAATCATGCTTAATAAGGGAAATCATTCCCAAATGGCCGCAAAATTCAGGTTAGTGAAATATTATAATTTACCCATATGTATATATGATAGCTGGATATAAGTATTATGTTTATATATCTATAATTACTATATTTATTCAAGGTGTCTCTATATATTTATAGATTTAATAGATTTTCTTAGATAGTTTCAATAATTGGAAAAAAGAAATAATGATCATAATATTGATCTAATAATGTATATCATAGACTCAATAATATTAATGTGGGTAAAACAATGTCATCTGCACCATCCCCCAAATCACCATAATTAGGTGTTTTTCAACCATTCCCAAATGGGTGGTTTATTGTGGTTTTACCCGCATTAAAATTAGAAGATTAGGAAAATACATAGTGTCTTTTATATATAGAAATGTTTTTTACGAGAACTTCAACAGGAATAATGTGAAATATCCCATGCCAAGAAATGCATTCCTTTCTTTAAATGGGATATCATGCCTCAAGGATAAACATTGACATTCGATGGAGAACTCTTCTGGGAGATTTCATGGAAGAGTTTCTCAGATATGTTGTGGAATATGTTTTGGGATGTGATAGGATATAGTCTTTTTGTGAACGCAAGCATCCGTGATGCGGTTGTTCATCATCATCATTTTCCACAATTATCATGATCATCACCAGTATGTTGTATGTTTAGAAACGATGGTTTAATTATGGGTATACTTAGCAAGAACAGTCACCATCCATTTACGGGTATGTCCATGCTCTTTATTGCTAAGTATAATCATATATATATATCACAATTGAAATTATATCTGACAACATTGTTCTACATCATTTTCAGCAATAATTATAACCACAACAATTTCAAGAATAATTTCTTCACATCATTGTCCGTCATAATATAACATAACCATGACGGAACATCACATAACCAGCATCAGTTTCCACCTCCCAATCATAAATAAGCATAAATACTCATAAATAACCATAGACAATCCTAAATAATCATAAATAATCCATAAAGACCCATCATTTTCCCATCATTTTCCACATTTCTGCCACACCCCACCTTGTAGGCCCTTGGTCGGTGGCTCTCCTGGCCTCGCAGCTGGATATTGCGACCATGAACGGCGCAGCTTCAGCTGCCTTAGTGGCTGGCAAGTGGCACCGCTCATTGGAGGCGTCATGGGATAAACCCCAAAGGAATAGTCCCAGCTGTGAAATGGGATAGTTTGGGAAATATATGGCATATATTATATATATACCCTAAAAAGGAAAATATGGTTTGGGAAATAGATGGAATATCATTGGGATATATGTTCTTAATCATATAGAATGGGATATGTATGGGAGCTTTCAGAAAGCGAGTTTTGATGCTTCAGGTGCGGAAAAAATTGTCTAATTAAAAACGAATACAGGACATCATTGGCGAACAAAGTTGCCTAATCTTCCTGGTGCTTAGTAGGGAATGGATGGGTTGCTGGGGGTTGCTGGGATAATTGTTGATAGTTAGCCAGTGGATCATTCCAGAAATTCCCTGCGTTTAGCACCCGTAAGTAATTGAAAACAACAAATGAAAACTGTACACCCCTTACAAAAGAGTATTACCACCAAAGGTGGCACACTTTATTGATTATTCCCCCGGCGTGATGGGTTACTTTATCCACAGGAAATTTATTAATCCCACTATACATTTGGCTGATATATGATATAGATTATTATTGGGATATAATGGGGATCAAATGGGATATACTGGGATAATGGGATATGTTGGTTTATATATGGTTGTGGGTCAAAACCCCAGTACATTGGTAAACATTTTTAACAAAAAACTGTGGAATCACACCCTCTGGTAAATTAACGTCTGGCTGCTAATGAGCTATGCCCCCAAAATGGTCGCAGAAACTAGTTTAAATGGCATGTTACTAAGTATCAATATGACAGGTTGTAACAGGTTACACCCCTATGTTCAATCCTGTTTGTTCCACCTATTATGTGTTTAGTTACCCTCTGGTAATCAAAAAAACCTGATTTGCTGGCAAATCCCTTACAGATTCGCAGCTAGAAACCTCCATTTAGTGCGGGAATTCCACTTGCCATGTTTGATTACCAGATGGTATGAATCTTATTCATCTATCCCATTCGATCTCATGTCAACTTGGTTGCTTATATTGAATTAGATCACCATAAATCCGCATGAACTCACCATAAATATCCCATCCAAATCCCTATTCAACTACCATTTTGGCTGCTAAAAGTGATTCACATCCCCATTTTACCCAGTAAAAACATTGTATTTTCCATCTGACCATGGTAGATTTGCTCCAGCTCCCCATGAAATCAAGCTACACTACGGTAGGTGCTTCGAGCAGCCGCTCGCTATGGGCTCCAGTGTGACACCGTGCCGTGATTTCAGTCCGTGAGGATGTCACCGAGGGTGAAGTTGGTGCTTAAAGGGATTGACCCTCTATAAATGTCTAGATTGAATGGATTTAATTAATCGATATTTTATGGTGATTTAATGGGATTAATAGGATTTAATGGGACCATAAGGATATAATATCCTCAACAATTAGATAGATAGTTAATATTTATTGCTGGTTTTACCAGGGCAACAGTTAGATAGGGTATAAGAGTTATTTCAGCAACTTATAGTTAATTTTAGTAAGATAGGTAAACTAACATTGGCTGAATTAACTATGGTTTATGGTAGATATAACGAACTAGTATTCATTTTTTGGTTGTAAACTAAGATAGCTATGGAAATCACAACTTGTTGTACCCTCTGGTTGATGGATTACCCTCTGGTAAACCGACATAGCTGTTGAAGAAAATCACATTTTTTGTGGGTAAATCATCTATAAACGGGCCATGGCTTCCATAGTTATGTTAGCTGAACCTGGAGGTTCAGAACTTCACCGGGCTAGTGGGGTTCATAACTATAACCCCAATGCCTATAGTTCATGGTTTTATGGGCTTTATAACACCCACTTGTAACTGGGGGAATTTTCACTAGCTATGGGATAGTGATCCGCCAAAATATATGGAGTTGTTTACAACTCATCATGATGTCTTGTCGGTTTTTAATACGATTTCGCAGGATTTCACCAGCATTAAGCATGATATCTATGATATCATAGTAAATATGAGGGATTTAGCTAATACTACCGTATGATATCATTTCCAGATTTAATATCATGTTAGCCTCTGGTAAACTAACAGTTTGCTATCGAACATGGCTATTTTGTTCGTTGATTTACCCACTAATAGCACGGTGATTTTCCATAGTTTTTTCTATGTTGACCAGAGGGTAAATCAAAAACAATCGTCAATGTTTGCTTGCGATTTCACCGATTCAATCGTTTTCATTGGCGCCCAGCCTGACCTTTTCCAAGGTGTCCAAGTACTTGCTGATGCATGCGCAGAGCAGGAGGGGCGCCTCCGGCGCCTCGAACGGAGCTGGGTTTCTGGGCCGCAGCGAGGAGAGAGGGATTCCCGAAATAAAGTATAGAAACTATTTATAGGTTTATTAAATCCTATAATCATTCCATAATGACACCATTAATAAAGCATGATTCATAGTTCTAAGTATTATTAGTAACTCATACTAGCAATGTGTGGAACCTAATAATAGTATGATCATATATGGAATTGTACTATGATCATAGTACCCATAGTAGCGCATTTCATAAAACAATGGTATGGGTACTAAGAACAGGTGCAGTACATATCATTCCATTTCATAAATGGAGGTACTGTATCATAATGGTGGTTCTTTACAAAACCTCCATGTTAGGATTCTGAAATGTCCATTGAATGAACTAACATAGCATACCCTCTGGTAAACTAACATAGCTATTGAACATGGCCATAGAAATAGTTGAATTACCTATAAACAAATGGTGGATCTTTCCATAGTTATGTTGGTTTACCGGAGGGTAATCCATATAGGAATATTTTTTTTGAACCTGGGTTTGTGTCGATGATAAACTTGACCGAGTCAATGGTTTTCCTGGAATCTTGGACCCAGATCACAAGACCATGGTCATCCTCCAGCAATCAAACATGGCAATGGTGTTCTCATGTTTTAGTGGGGAGGAAACCCCATAGATTTTTTGCCATTGCCATGTGAGAAATTAGTGGATAGCCTCTGGTAATGACTAACACTTCGCGAACTGGAAAGATCCACCATTAAAGAATAGGTAAATCATTCATAAATGGTCCATGGCTTCCATAGCAAACTGTTAGTTTATTGGAGGGTAATGGAACTTGATTGCCCCAATAAATAGATGATGTTCCCATGATTTTCCCATTAGGAAAAGCTCTCATTCGTTTGGGGATTTCTCGCGTGCCAATGTTTGACATCACACATAGAAACTGGTGACGGTGGTGACTGGAACCATGGAATTTTATGACTTTCCCATCATATTGGGAATGTCATCATCCCAACTGACGAACTCATATTTTTCAGAGGGGTAGGTATACCACCAACCAGTAAGTCACGTGCTCCTCCGCTGTTGCAGATGATTTTCCCATTCAAAATGGTGGATCTTTCCATAGTTATGCAAACGTTTACCAGAGGGTATATCATATTAAATCCCATTAAACCACCATAAAATAGTTGAAACCACCAACCAGTTATAGTTGATTACTTGGTTTAGAGGGTTGGTGATTTCATGGGCACTCAGGGTGACTGTGGCCACCTTCAAAGTTCAAAGTTAGATGTCCTCAGGTGCCGTTGATAAAGCTGCCCGGATTTAGATGTCAACATTGTCGACATGTCGACATGATGGATACGAACTGGATATTACAGTTAGTTAATAGTGATAATATGATAATAGTGACTTTTATAGATATGAATAGTGTGTTTCTTGATAAACCTGTGTGAAACACATGTTGCTCCATGTTGATGGATTACCCCCTGGGTAAACCAACAGTTTGCTGTTGAACATCACATTTTTTGTGGGTAAATCAACGAACTAAATGGACCATTTTCAATAGCTACGTTAGTCATTACCAGAGGGTACCTTTTTGGGCATTTGTGAAGGTTGGTCTTTCCCATCAAGTTCTGGACTTCCCAAGTCCTGGTGCTTTGCAATCTCCAAAAATCCTCATGGTTTTGACTACCATCTGGTTATATAACATAGCCATGGAAAATCACCATTTTTAATAGGTAAACCATCTATAAATGGGCCATTTCCCATGGCTATGTTAAATAACCATAGCCAGAGCGTAAATCTCCATATTAGTTCATCGTTTTTCATATCCTATGTTATGTCACAGAAGTCTTTGGAGATGTATGTCACAGAAGCCATGGAGTTATGCGTTGAATCCTCATTTTTGGATGTGCCCAAAACCCCCATTTTTGTTCTCGGGGCATCCATGCATCCATTTGCGGCCACATCCTGAGGCGGGGTCGATGGCAAATTCCGATGTCCATCTTGGCCAACGCCGAGAACCGGAACTTGAGTGACTTGTATCGAGCCCCATGGCGTTGATCGACGGCTTCACAAACGAGTTGTAAACAAGCCAAAAATAACAGGACGATGTGTGGGATATGAATGATGAATTTCTATGATTTTGTGGAATACGTGAATACGTATGCATATATATATATATTTGGGTGTTTATTGGGTGCTCCAAGACTTCCGGGTGCTAATCAACCATTTCATGGGTATTTTGATAGGATGTAACGAGATATAAGGGCAAGTACTGATGATTTTTGGTACCGGTTGGAACTGGGAAGCGAAACCAGTGGGAATTCCCTCCAGACATCCACTTTTGATGTGTGAGATGATGTGTTGCCTGCGGAATCTATTGGGACTGTGGTTTATTTTTTGGGGGAACCATTTTCAGCAAGACCTTAGGTCAACCCCATTGATGTGCAACTCCCGCATGTTCTTTGGGAAAAAGTACCCTTTTTGTGCTTTTTTTTATGTACATGTTCTTGGGGGTCAGATCCTGATTTTTGCTGCTTCGATATATATATATATATGTAATGTGTTTGCGTGGTAGACCGAGCCAATAAAATGAGCAAACGGGGATGCTTGGGGATGGCTAGTTACCATTTACCACATCCAAACAAATCCTATGAAAGCCGGAATCATGACCAGACAGAATGGACAGAATGGAATGGAAAACCCCATCTGTTCCTTGGAATGTTCATTGTAAAAGGATGGATATGTGGCATATTCTTAAAGGATATCTAGACTTCCTGATACACATGCTCAGGTGATTTCCAGAAAGACCCTTCTCGAAAAATGGCTTCAGATATCCATCAATATGTGACAGTAAGGCAGGAATCGCTTTGAGTCTCTCCTGACATCAACTTCTTGTCATTCAACTTCAACTGCGACGTGGTTTCCTGCCGATGGCGATTGATGGAGGACAAAGTGAAGGAGCCAACAGCACCAATTGACGGAGGATAGAGTGCAGACCTTCCTTTAGCATCATCACCATTGATCGATAGGGAGCCCCCAACCAGATCCTTGCAGAATCAGCTCGGAAAAGGGGAGGAATTTTGGTGCGGTCGAAAAAGTCGCTGGGGCGATTTGGCGCTTTAAATGGAGCTACCCCAGTTGCCCTCCGTTGATGGGATTTTCCATGAGATATTCACCATCCAGCGATGGGAACCCCCCAGGTGTCGAAAAGAGGCGTCCCCCAAATGAGACGATTGACCGATTGACTGATGGTAGGACGAAAGCGGCTTGGTCAATAGTTGTTTTTTCGAGGTTGGATGAGTTGACTAGACATCCGTTGAAGATGTTTCAACGAAAATTGGAATCTATAAATCCTATGAAAAAAATCCTATTCTTGATGGTTAAACTTGGTAAACTCCCCTATATCCTCATACATAAATCATTTTGCTGAAATGGATTTGTCTGAAAATTTGGATATGGTTAATTATATCATCCTCCCAACATTGGCCAGTTGAGGGGTATAGCCTATTTACAGACCCAAATGTTGAAGAGATGCCTTGAACGTGTTTGAAATTTTCAAACCGCATGGACGGTGCTTCATGGTTGGGTATGTTTTGGTCTTCAGATCTTTGATCTGTCCGAAGATGATGTTTTTTTGTGGGCTATTCATAAGAGACACTGGACGTGGTGGATGCATCAAAACCAACTGTAGCATTTTTTAGTTGTGAACATCCATAACTACCAGCAATTTTCGGATGAGCCCAAAACGTCCTTTTTTGCGAATTTCGGTTCAGCTTCGCAGCGCCCACCCGCCATCTGCCGTCACTGGACTGCAGTTTTGACTCTGGATGGTGATGCTCCTTGAAATTGTTGAGGAAAGGTCTGGTTCAATTATAACGACCTCATGTTGCAACGTCAAATGGCTTAGTCTAGGATACCATTCCATGAAAAATGGTCAAAGATGTCCGATACAATTCTGCCAAGATGTGTACCCTCTGGTAAACAAACAGTTTGCTATTGAAAATGGCCCAGTCGAAATCGTTGATTTAATGATTTACCCATTCATAGCATGGTGGATCTTTCCATCGTTTTTTCTATGTTTACCAGAGGGTAACGATGTAACCTTGATTGAACAACAGGTGATGCAATTTATAGTTGATTTACTGTACCCAATAAAAATGGTGATTTTACATAGTTTTTTGTATGTTTACCAGAGGGTAATTTCCAATCATTCATCCCGACTACCAACGGCGTGTTTCACCGTTTTAGGTCATGGACAATGGCTACCACAGCGCACAGATCTGGGAAGTCATTGGAGGATGACCCAGTTCGGAGAGGTGTTCCTATCACGACATATATATATATACAACTTAAATATGTCTATAAATAGACAGTGTATGTATATATATATATTAATAATATTATATTTATTAAATCTATATATATATACTATTGTAAATATATATATTGCCATGTGTTTCATCCAATGTTCCAGCATCTTGGCACGACCTTTCCACACCGCCCATCTTGCGAAACACACCAGGAGCCGACAAGGGAGGTGTTGGGGAGCTCAGTCAATCACCGTATCCAGGAAGAATAAGATGCTTCTGCTTCAGCTTCCTGAATTCTATGGTTTATGGTGTGTCAACATGGTGTGTCAATATTGTGTGTTTCTGGATGTTTATGGATGTTTGTGATGTATAATATATATATATATGTATGTATATGTATATATATATATATCCATAATATGTATATGCATATATATATATATATATCCATAAACCATAGAATTGTGCGGTTTAGAATTATATATATACGTGTTTTTGTGCAGTATAAACTCTAGATGATTATATATATATGTATCTTATATATAACTATAGTTCATTGGATTTATAACAAACTTACAACGGGGGCACCACCTTGTACCCTAAGTTTTCGCAGGGGGCTATCCAGTAACCAAGAAACTTGCAATATTCTCTTGGATATAATCAACCGTATAGAACAATGGCAGTTGTTTGTCCCAGTTTGAAAATGATGATCAGACACTGTGTTTTTGAGGGTGCACTTTTCTTTCCGGCGGCAACCCCATATTGGGGCCATGAATCACATGACCCAACAGGTCTGGGAATTCTGGTAGGATTCCTCCAAAAGCTGGTGAAATGTCCCCCACATGTTTCATTGCTACCAAAGTCACTGCAGGGAACCAACGGTAATGGAGATGTTGACGATCTGAAGTGTTGAAACGTGTCCCCAGATACCCTCTGGTAAACTAACATAACTATAGAAAATCACCATTTTTCATGGGAAAATCCACTATTTCTATGGGGTATTTTCTACAGCCATGTTAGTTTACCAGAGGGTAAGTTCCCATACCTTCCCCTTTTTCGAAGATGTTGTTCACCTGTGGCCGAAATCGAGGTGATTGTCCGAGTTGATGAGGACCGAAAACCATGTTGCTTCGAGCGACAAGGTCATGGTTTTTTAATAAAAACCCATCTAAATCAGCCTGGTAAACCACCATTAAACAATGGGATCTAATGGGAATTTATAGGAATTTATGGTGGTTTAATGGGATCTAATGGGTTTTACCCTCGAATCTATCCATTGGATTCTATATCCACTAATCATATCTAATCATCATTACCTAAAGATTACGCAGTAATTATATCCAGTTAGATAAAACCCATCGAAATCACTCATCAACCAGGGATTCTATCCCCAGGAAATCTATCCAGGATATATCCGGATCAACCCAGGCTATAGATCCAATTGGATCCCAAGGCTATTTTTGCTGCTTAAGCCTACAGATTATGCTGAAAGATACCCTCTGGTTATGTCAAACATAGCTACTGAAAATGGCCATGTTTAATGGGAAAATCAACTATTTCGACTGGCCTATCCTTTTTCAACTGATTCTTCATGCTTAAATCAAGTTGAATCCTCCTTTTTGTTCCAACAAATCAATAAGGATTCTTCAAAAACTCGCGGGCAAAGCCTGTTTTGGCGGTTTTTTTTTCCTCCCAAGCTGTGCTAAATATAGGAGCTCTCGTCAACGGCCTTTTCTGAGCGCCTGACCACTGGCTCCCTAGTCGCGGAGGTGACCGCCGGGATGACCCTCTGCTTTGCGTGGAAAATCAACGAATCAGAATTGATCTGATGATGAGCTACTTATTAATGGAATTTTAATGTGATTATTGGGGATTATAAGATCAGATTATTGGGATTTTAATGAGATTTTGATGAGATTATGATCTATCCAGTGGTTAGGAGGGAGCTAAGGAGCTATGGGTATTCATATACCCTATTCAATGGGGAGCTAAGGAGCTACCAGGAGTTTCCCAACCACATACTAGCAGAATTGATCTGATGATGAATTACTTACTATAGATTAAGATCAGACAAATACTTGATCAGAAAACCATCTGTTTAAACTGAAAATCATCTTATTATAGATTATTGGGGGATGTTTAAACTGAAAATCATCTTATTATAGATTATTGGGGGATATTTAAACTGAAAATCATCTTATTATAGATTATTGGGGGATTATGATGGGATTACAATGGGATTATTAGGGATTATAAGATCAGATAATTGGGATTACAATGGGATTTTGATTAATTATGACAATTGATCAGAGTAATGATTGATACTGATGATTAAGATCAACTATAGATCTTAATCAGATGATTGTAGATGATAAATCAGTTGATCATCTAAGATTGATCAGTAGTTATCGGAATCTTTTTTAGATTAAGATCAAATAAATACTTGATCAGAAAATCATCTGTTTAAACTGAAATAAAAAGATGATTAAATTAATCAAGTCGACAATGAATCAGATGATTTAAACCGATTCAATTTATCGAATATTTATAGATTCATCTATCATTTGAATGGAATTAAATCATCTATGCCAGGAATTACTCTATATGATTTATAGATGATTTACCATTTTCTATGATAATATGGAAAGGTTGTTCATAGGTAAATCATCTATAAATCATCGAAATGGACCATATTATCTGAGCAGTGCTGCTAAAGCCTGGTTGGTTGATGATTGCTTCGTCATTCAA